AAATATTTTGCAAAAATTATAAGCTTAAGGAAGGAATCTACCAATTTGTGTCAGGAACTTATGAGATTGAACATGAGAAATTTTAGGAGAACCCGCAAAATCTGAACCTATCGTTCCTGGTCCACCTGGAGCACCAGGAAGTCCTGGACCACAAGGACCACCCGGACCACCTGGAAGCAATGGTATCGATGGAGCTCCAGGAGAGCCTGGACCAAAGGGACCAGATGGAGAGCCAGGAGCACCTGGACAAGATGGAGAACCCGGTCAACCCGGACACCCCGGTCAAGATGGACAACCCGGAGAGAAGGGTATCTGCCCGAAATACTGTGCTATCGATGGCGGAGTCTTCTTCGAGGACGGAACGCGTCGTTAGGTTGTGCAAGATCTTATTTATTAAAGCTCACACAGCAAATCGTATTAAATCATTCAAGAATCTCTTTACAATTAGAAAATGGCACATCGTATCAAGAACTTATCTCGACAAACAAAGTTTATCTCACAGCTCAAGCTTTTCTTGGCGAGACCCCAGGATTTAAAGTGTTTGATTATTGCGCAAATTTCTTCCTTCTTTTTGAAAAAGGTACAACCAATTCCAGAACTCTCTACTGCGCCATTCTTTTTCATATTTCAGCTGATTATCAAATGAACGCCGAACGATCTGTGAAAACTAGCACATGCGCGGAAAAACGCAATGAACGAGAAAATCGAAAAAGTCGAGGGGTTGATCCGTTGCGAATCTAAATGAGGACTGAATGCGCCAAATTGCAGTGAACGAACAGAAATTCTTCACTAATATGTATTTATGCAGAGGTAGTGCAGAAAAATATTTAGGTAAAAATAGGTTGTGTTCAAGGTTTGAGAAGGTTTTCTATAGCTGGACTGCAAATGTAAACCCATGAATTCTCTTAGAACTCTAAGAAAAACTGAAAAACAAAAATCTTTGAATACTACGGTTTTTCTCAAGCTTGTGATGCAGTGAAAGCTTTGCACAGTTTTCTGCCATGGAACGGTTCCACTTGAACATAGCAGGTGTCAGATCACCAAAGATCGTAGCTAGTATCGAAACTTTAGTCTAAGGTCAATCTCGTAAAGCTATAATACCCTCGGTATGGATTTAATCATCAAATCTATAGCAAAAACGATACATACCGGCTTGAAGGACCAATTAAGCATCGAATTTTGGATAAAAATGAAAAGAAAATGAACTTATGCACGGTAGCCCACTCGTAATTTAGAAAAGGAGATAGGTATGGTCATACTGAGTAGGCGGAAAATTACAATAGGATTGAAGATTATGAATAACGAGTATCAGTTTATCAGCATTGGTGAGGCTCCTTAGTGAACAGAAAAGACAAGGGGAGTAAAGACATAATAAATACTTATGACATTTAGAGAAAGGTAAAAAATGAGCAAATTTTGTCTTCTCAGCAGTATCGGCATAGCAGATAGTTGAAATATAATAAGTACACAGGATTAGTGAAATACATATGAGCGCAAAAAACCCTGCAAAATAAGTTTACCCAGAGAAAATGTCTCTTCAGACGCAAAATTCCTATTCTCCAAATGCCTCGATAAGCATTTGTTCATTAGATGACAGTATGAACATAGATACCTTACCTTCTTGTTAGCAATGGATGTGTGTCCAAGCACTGAAGTAAGTGCTCCTTCGTTCAACCTATAGCCATTCGTGGATGATGGAGCGACAATCTAGAGCAGTAATCTCAAATTCCGAAGTTGTTAATTACGAGATGCACCCCATGAGGACTTTTCATTTGATTGTCACGGGCGTACAAATTTCTAAGAGATGTAGCCTTTCTCATTTGGGGTTGTACCAAGTGCGGCTTAAGTTTGATGAGTATGAACTCATTAGCTATCACTTTTCCTACTCACGAAAGTTATAAATAATGCATAGAACTAAGGGGAAATTTTGATAAGACGTGACAACGGCTGTTATTCTCAAAAACTCATCCGCTGAAAAAATGCAATAATCGGTCTTTCCGAAGATGTTCGTCAAATTATTTTCATCTCTTCAAGTAAGAAACCGTACCTGTACAGGCCTAACTTTGTGTCGATGCTCGCCTTGATCTCTTGTGCTAAATTCAGGCTGAAATGGCGCAGTGAGATCGAAGTCAAATGACATCTGCAACTAAATCTGTGAAGCTGAGATTTTTTTTACCAATAGCGCAAACGATCACATTTATTACAATAATAAGTCCAAAGTGAGCCAACAATTCGAGTAGCAGCATTTCAAGAAAATGGTCTTAAAAGGTAAAGACAGTA